TTTGTTAATTGAATGGCTGGAATGCTAGATTTAATGTTAAAGTACTAACATGTCTGTTTATCAGTACAAGTTACCAGAGCCTTTGTGTTTGCTAAGGGCAGACAACAACCTCCCACCTTGGCGCCCAGGATTGAAGGAGGTAATAGTAACAGTTGTACATTATCTACTATTTATGCGCATGCATTTTAATGTTAACATTAATCAGTGATTATTAGTGTGTGAACTGAAAATGCGAGTAACCTTTTCCACAAAATGCACAATGTAGAAACCTCTAGTTGAAGGGCAGGCCTGGTGCAGTGGTGAGAGCTGTCTCACTGAGTCACCAGGTGGTGGGTTCGAAGCAGCCTCTCCGCAGATTTTGCGGGGGGAAGGCTTGCCTCGGTTTTTCCCTTCCCCAGACCCCACTCATGTGGGAGCCTCCGGCACTGGGTTTTCCCCTTTTTTTTTAGAAACCTCTAGTTGCGCTGTAAGTCCCCCACATGATCACATGGAGCTTGTCTGTTCAGTATAGCTCTAGTGCTGGAGCAAACTTTTTTTTTACCAAAGAACCTAAGACAACAATTGGCTATAACTTACTATCTCTATTACTGGTCTACTGGAATAAACAAATTTACCTGATGAAACAACATAATAATCCATCTAATTTTGCATCACGGAGTAGGATATTAGGCTGGAAAGAAGTGCAAATTCAGTATATAATTTTATGTGTTTGTGCTCAAACTCAACAAAAATGCCTTCATGATTAATGCTCTCACTTATGCTGAGAAGCCTTTTCTGCAACCCGGTAAATCCGTTGCCTAATAAAGCTATTGCATTGCTACATAAAATTTGATTAAAGCTTATATTATGAGTTTTTTGTTTCTTTCTTAGGCTTTCATTAGGGAATAGTTCTTTTTTATTGGAGTCTACAATTTGTGAGCCTGTCTTTATTTGTCAGTTGTTAGGGAATTGTTGCTGCTGCCTCAATGAGCTATTTTAAAACATATTACTTGCTTGATCAGATTTGTCTTAATTGAAAAACCACTGCTTGTCATCACCATCTAACTTTGCATCGCGGAGTAGGATATTAGGCTGGAAAGAAGTGCAACTTCAGTATAAAATTTTATGTGTTTGCGCTCAAACTCAACAAGAATGCCTTCATGATTAATGCTCTCACTTATGCTGAGAAGCCTTTTCTGCAACCGATAAATCCATTGGCTAATAAAGCTATTGCATTGTTACATAAAATTTGATTAAAGCTTATGAGTTTTTTTGTTTCTTTCTTAGGCTTTCATTAGGGAATAGTTCTTTTTTATTGGAGTCTACAATTTGTGAACCTGTCTTTATTTGTCAGTTGTTAGGGAATTGTTGCTGCTGCCTCGATGAGCTATTTTAAAACATATTACTTGCTTGATCAGATTTGTCTTAATTAAAAATACCACTGCTTGTCATCAATCAGATGTTCGATGCGATAATTTGTGACCCACCATATGGTGTCCGGGCTGGTGGCCGGAAGTCTGGTGGTCGGAAGCTCCTAAAAGGCGTCAAAGGCCCTTACACAGTGCCGGATGAGAAACGGGACAACCACATCCCATCAACCGCGCCATACAGCCTCGCCGAGTGCGTCCATGACCTCCTCCACCTCGCCGCAAGGATGGTAGTCATGGGTGGCAGGCTCATCTTCTTCTACCCTGTATTGCGAGGTGAAGATGGCGCTGCAAACCCGCAGTTCCCGGAGCACCCCTGCTTCAAGCTGATCACCTCCTCTGAGCAGATCCTGAGCTTTCGGTACAGCCGTGTTCTGCTGACCATGGTGAAGGTCGCACCCTACACCGAGGAGATCGAGAAGATGGCCGCAGAGCGGCACCAGGAGTTCAGGGAGAACCACCAGAAGTGGATGGAGGAGGGCAACCTCCACTCCGCGGTGTTCGAGCCAGCTCAGGATGGGAAGCCTGATAGGGAGTCCAAGCCCAAGTACAGAGGCAAGTACGTGTAGCAGCTCAGATACTAACCCGTTGAATTTAGTGGAAATTCATCTTTTTTTTTATGGTGTCCTGTTCTGCATCCTGAGCTAGAGCGCCCCCCTGTACCAAATTTTATGAGCTAGAGTGTTAGCAGGTGCTGCGAGATGTACCACTGTCCCAGAGTATGATACGAAACTGGCCAGTCCATTTGATGGATGAGGAAGTGTAATTGTAACTTTATTTTTTCTGAACCTAAATTTTTGTTTAACCTGCCTTTGACACGGCAGTCGAAATTGATGCTGCTTCTGTTACTGAATTATGCGAAACACATGCCCTATTTCAAGTACATGAAAATTTTCTTTTCTTTACTATGGGTGCATATAGGGTGTAATCCCAGGGTGTTATTTGGTTACTTGCGTTAGTTGTCCTACAATTATTTAACCTTATATAGTAGCTAGTATAAAGATATGCAATGTCTTGGTGTTTAGTTATTGCATTTGGTAAAATTGTAGTATTTGATTGCTTATGTTGTGTTGCATGTACTAGTCATCTATATGTTTTTATTAGAGGTTTTATGTTTGTATTAGAGGTGAGACGATTTTATATGATCATAAACTTATGCAAACCTGAAATGTTCAATACGATCAAATCTTGAATTTACTTTTACGAACCTATCTAAGAGTCTGTGATTACTGAATAACCAAAGACAAGCAAATTGTAAGATAGCTGACGCATAGAACCAAAGAGAGTGCCATTCAGGACTTGCAATACAGCGCAAGCCAATACATTTTGGTACTATTATTACTCGATCTATTGCATTGTCTCTATGGTTGAGCTGCCTAACAATTGTCTGTCTAGTCTTATGCAAAGGAGCGTGAAGTATTCTTCAGTTTTGTTGTGGGCATCAATCAGAATTCTACACGTTGAATCAATTTTGTGAATTTAAAAGATACATTTTTTTTTGAAATGTAAAATAAAATTACTGATCAGCTCTGTGATTCATCACTCATTATACCCTATGAGAAACTGATCACCTCTGTTCCGTGCCACATATTCACTGGCTGTACCGTAGCAAGATTCATCCGTGACATTTACTATTATACCGTAGCAGACCGTTCGTTGTAAGCATAGAGTATGTAGTGGATTCTTCGTGCCATTCACATTCGTTCGTTGTAAGCATAGAGTATTCAGTGCATTCTTCCCTTCATCAGTTCATCTTGATCAGCTCATCTTGATTTGTGTGCAGCGCATTCTTCAGTTGTCATCAGTTCATCTCCATTTGTGTGCAGCGCATTACTCAGTTGTCATCATCAGTTTGTGTGCAGCGCTGTCTTCAGTTGTCATGCGCCACAGGTATTAGCCGAGCAAAGATAAAAGGAAGTCCGCTAGCAATATATGCTTAATACAGGGCAGGGGATTCCACCAATTTCATGTAAACGAGTTCACCCGGACTCCAGAAAGATAGGTCTTACAGTGGACAGTGATGACAAAACAAGCAAGGATGTGGGGTTGTGGGAATCAAATACAATAGGGCTTACTTTGGCAGCAGGGGCCAATTAGCCCAGGGATGATTACCCCTGACGTGGATTTTTTTGGGACTTCTTCTTCCCGCCTCTTCCCAGGGCTGGTAACCACAGTGGGGGAACTTTCCACGTCTTCCTTTGGCAACAGTGGGAAAACAGCAGCACTTCTACCAAAGTACTAGTATTTCTGCCAAAGTATGGCAACAAAATTGAAAACAGTGTCTTGAAAAATCAAGAAAAATCTGAATTTCTTAAATAATATAATGAAATCACCAAAGATCAATACCAACCACATCATTTTCATGATCATAATGCATGGAAAATCACAAGACCTAAATTATTTGACAGTCCAATAAATAGAAAATTTAATTCAAGTGCCAAATTCAACCCACTACCAAACTGATCCGATACATAGAAGCCTGAAATGTCCAACATGCACTACCAAAATTGACCACACTTCTCTTGTCTCAAATCATGCATTGCCTCCACCAAACTCTCTGCAGTTAACACACAAAAAAAAGAACTCTTGTGAGGCCCTACAGTATAAGGTCAAAATACAGAGCATATAGGTAAAAGAAGCATGTTATCACCATGTTTACAGCTAGCTATCAGTTCAGGCTAAGAATTTTTTTTGTACAAAGTGCAGAAAGATAACCACACCAAAACCATTTCCTAATACCAGCAACAAAGAGTACTGATGGCATGCAGCATTGGCAAGTGCAAGCTGTTGTACAATTGTGTAGTCATCAGTTTCATATGGCTCAAGGTTATCTATCCCTATGAACAAATTTTATGTACACGACATCCGAAAAGTGTAATATGAGTCATGCCTTGTGAATTTTTAAGATCCCTCAAGATAGGGGATCAGACATGCAATCCTCTTGAAAGGAGAGGAGCCTGATAAGGTTAGCGGTGGTCGTTGCCTAATCAAATGGCTGCTGGCCAGTGATCTGCAAGCCCAAGGGAAGAAGTGGTTTGGGCATCTTATATTTAGAATGTTTCGCAAGGGCTTTAAGATTACATTAGAAGTGGCTCAAGTGGAAAAAACAAAGAAATAACTTGGTCTGGACTAGATATTCCTTAAGACAAGACAGATAGGGACCTGTTTCATGCTTCAATTGGTCAAATAAGCTAGCTATGGACATCTGACAGAGTATACATGACCCACAGTGCATCTCTCATACAATTCATAGGGGATTCAAATAAACTCAAGATCAGTCCAATTTGGTGGACAAGAGAACCAAAATGCTGTTTTTTTCACTAACGTTATTGCATCAGAAGATATTGACTGCTAAATTTGCAGAAAAAAGGTCTGGCCAAATATTACGATTTGAATAGTGTCTAACACTTTACCAGAAACTTCCATCCGATCCATTTGTGCAATCCAAGTTCTGTAGAGAACATAAGCAAGGACAAATGACAAATTCTAGGCTCACACTAATAAAAACATTTGACCTAACCAGTGCAATATAATGTGCTCTCAACGATGGAAATACCTACATACAATGACTGCAGCTGCATTTTTCTTCTCAATTCAAACATTGCCTCCACCAACATTGCCTCTACAGATAGCACTGCAAGTAAGCACAAGGAAAAGCATTAGCAGCTAAGACATACCAAAGTAAACTAATCCAGTGGCAGCTAAGCATTATTACCTAATCTGCTGTTTGAGCCAAATCAAGCGAACATTTTTGTTTTTCATTTTCATGAATACCTCCCTATCTATCTCAGATTTGAAGATATTCATAGCATACGCCTTCTCCACATCAGTAAGTTCCATTGCATCAACTTCATCGAGACACTTGTCGACTGAAAATGCTTCGTCTTGTTTCTTCTTTTCATTGAGTGCTTCCATTGTTTTACTTGTTTGCATCTTCTTAAACTGCACAAAACCATCAATAGCAGCACCAATGTGACTTTGCTTACGCTTTCTCCCACCACTCGTTCCTTGCACAGAATCTTGATTGGAAGGTGCAGACTGAGCTTCATTGCGTGCACTTGAGACGTCTAGCCCATCAAAAGTAGCACCTGGACTTGTGCTATCAGACACTGCAACAGGAGCAACTGGAGCAGCTGGAGCAGCCAGAGCAGCCGGAGCAGCTGGAGCAGCAATAGGAACAAGAGGAGTAGGCTGCAAGTGCTCAGTTGATGTGAAGTTTAGATCTCCTGTAGCAACACTTCCTATGCAAAAAAAATAGGAAGAGTTACTACTTTTACTAGAAACTGATGGGTGGGCGAAAAATAGGAACACTTCCTATGGTTTAAATCAGGACTGATTAAATCACAACTTTGTTTCAGCATGCTTTTTGTCTTTTCTTCTCTTCAGTAGGTTAGACCAGAGGGCATAGAAGCATCATAATTGATACTGCAGGGTTGCTACATCGATTAAAATTTAATATGCGGTGGGTTTTCTTGGCATTAGCCATGTAATGTCAACAATATTTCTCGATGTCGTCATGTTTCATGCAATCATGTATTCTTGGTACCAAACGTAATGGAATACACTAGTTGTCTTTATGTGTACTACTGTCTGCTGAAAGTGAAGCGTATTGGTTGATGAACAGGCTTGTGATGAAGACATGCCAACAACAGAAGCTATGTGGCATCCAATGAACAAGTTTTGGTAAACCTTCTATTCTTTTGCAGTTTTTCTATTCTTCAAGGTTTGTCATTCTCACAGAGAAAGACAAAGAACAAGAACAATTGCAGCTCTCCAAGTTGTGCTCACGAAAACAGGGAATAAGAAAAAATACTTAGATAAAAGTATTGTGCGTCATAGATTGAGATTGCTCCATAGTTTTAAGTACCCCCCCCCTATTCACTACTGGTTATGTCCCCCCCTATACTGGTTATGCAAATGCTGATCTAACACTATAGTGCTCAGTTGATGTGAACTATAGATCTCCTTATTTCTTTCTTCCTTTTTTTAACGGTGTGCCTTTGCAGCATATAGGAAAGCAAAGCAAAGGCGAGAAAAAAAGCTACATAACCTTAGAGAGAAGTTTCAAATAACATACCAGCATACAATGACGTACAGTCTTCATATAAAGGAAACGGCTTCTTCTGGAACCTAGCCATTTTTCCATTATCCTATTTAATACCAAGACAACAGCATAGTTAGTACTTGCAACCAGAATATGGCAACAATTTTTTGGTTTAGTGAAAAAATCTTACATTGATCAGTTTCTTCCATTTTTCTGGTTCCGCAATGACCATGGCCAATGAGTCATTCCAACCAACACCACTATCCTTTAACGCTACATGTATCGCCTTCCAAATTGCCCTTTAGCTCCTTTTCCTTCTCTTGTAGTGCTTTGCTTTGTGAAGCATGCTAAAGGATACATTTGGGTAAACTTCTCTGAGATACTTCTCCAACCCTCTCCACTCCATCCATTCTCGACCCCACGAACAAGGGGATGTTCACATGGTCCCTCATAATGTCAACAAGCCCTTTCTCATATCTAGAGTTCCATGTAGCCCTTGATTTCGACATTCTTGCAAGAAATAATTACGAAAATACATAGCTCATAAAATATTATAGAATGTATTGGAGAATTTATTACGAATGTTGGATCACACGTAAAATGCATAACTCATAACATATTATAGAATGTATTGGAGAATTTATTACAGAATGTTGGATCACATAATGTATTACAGAAATACATAACTCATAACTCATAAATTACATTCCAAACACTACTATCCTACACATTGTAGGCAGCCCACATCTGATGGGCTATCTGGTCTCGTAGGGTATTTCCATGGTTTGATTCCATCTCACTTGGGTAGTTAGTGTCTCCCTCTGGCATGTCGACATAATTTGATGGGTTGATATTATCAGGTAGGATGTCTAGCCACTCTTCACTCCCATTCAACCCTCTAATGATGTTGTGAAACACAAAGAAGAAATTCTTGGAATCATAACTTGAGATTCAATTGGGTAATGTGTCCCCACTTTCGAAATTGAAACCGCTTTTTGAGAACCCCAAAGGCCCTCTCAATGTGATTTCGAAGAATCGCATGCCGATGATTAAACAATTCCTTGTAGTTGGCATATGCATTTCCCCTCTGGCCACGTCTCCTGAACTCACTGAGATGGTACTTAACTCCTCGGTAGGGAGCAAGGAATGATGGTGTGTTTGCATATCCACCGTCTACAAGATAGAATTTGCTCTTGTACGATAAATCCCTTGCCAAGAGCGGACCGCAACACTCCTGCATCGATCATCGGATCCTTCCCAACCAGATGAGATGAAAGTGAACTTCAAGTCGAAGTCACGAGCAAACATAACATTCTGCGAGATAGTGTCCCTTCCTATTTCTATAGGGGTGGCCTTGTCTTGTCCAATTGTGATTGGGACATGCGTATTACCATCGATAGCAGCGCCGATCTGCGCTCTGCAGTAAGAAAATTTACTAAAAATTTGGATTGTATTTAGGAATGGTATTAAGGAAAGTGTCTTGTATGTATTAACCGACACGAAAAGAATGGCATAAATCTAGGGTCACATGTAATCTTCATGTGTGTGTGGCTTGGATTGAAGTCTGATGAATTTTTGGGTTAATGTTGGAATGATATTGAAGACATCATATATTTTCCTATGCACTTTATCTCACCACTATGTTGAAACTCCTTCTTTAGCTCTCTCTGTGCTTGCATTATGAGAGAGCATGAACATAAAAAGACCAAGTTGCTCCTCAATCTTCATACCACGTGTGTCACACAGAGCAAGTTCTCGGCCTGAGAAAGTTTGCTATAGCTCTAAATATTTCAGCCTCCATCCTAAATTCTTCCTTGCACCAATTCTCGTGTCCTTGAGAATCTCTTTAACCTTTTAGCACCGGAAGAGAAGAGGTATGCTCAGGTGTTTTCTCTTAAATCGAGAAAGGGCATTACAAAGGGGAGAAGAATAAAGAATAGCTCCTCATCTTCTTCTTCCTCTTCCAACAAAAAATTTCTAGCAAGCTCTTCCCAAGAAGCCATCTAGTGTTACATATATGAAATTATATTATTACATATATATAAAATAAAAGGCACAAGGCCAATACTCAAGCACAAAGAAGTCACAAGTGTCATATGTAATAAACTCAAGCACATCACGGAAAATAAACTTCAACTATCATTTGCCCTAAATTGAAAGATAGTTTAAACTTCAATTTAGCAACACACAACTTAAACTAGCACTAACAATGAAACAAGGATTATAATTTCATATCATGAACCGGTGAAGTTTCATATACAATTATTTCAGAGGAATGGTTAGCATATACAATTATTTCAGAGTGAAGTTTCATATATGCCCTAAAATAAAAGTTAGGGGCATGTCATAAGCTAACAACCTAGAGCTATTGTGAGGAAAGCTTAGATTTTTCTCATACCATCTCATGAAAAACTTGCATTAATCTTTTTAACTTATTACTCAAAAATGCTAAAGAGAACAATACGGTGAGAGGAACACTTCAAGATACAACCATACAGATAGACTAGAAAGCGTGAAAAAAGCGCAAGTGAGAAATCGAGAAATCCAAAGAGTATCCAGAAATTTCATTAGTTCTAATGCAAAGAGGGAATCATTGTATACCAAAGACAGAGCAAAAACTACAGATCTGACGAGAGCAACAGTTGGGGGACTAACTCGACACCATCACCCCTGTCCCAAGATGCAAAGAAAAATCACTCCCAAAAAGCATCATGCCCTTATTAGTCGGAGAGATTTAGCAAGCACTTGTCTGAGATTTAGCAAGCAAATTATTAGATTGAGTGATTGACGAGTATGGACGCCACTGGAATTAAAAAACAAACTCTGCTTAAGATCCCACGCTGCCATCAAATTAAAAAGGCACACTCTGCTTAAGATCTCGTGCGAGTAGTAGGCAAGACCTATCATGCATTCATACAGAGACGAACTGCTTCCAACTTATTACACCATGAAGCTCCATTCGTCCTACATTACTTGCGCTTTGCTGGGTTGTACAATAGCTCGAAAGTGGCTGATGACAACCTGTGAATGATGCATGGTGAACTTGGTTCTATAATGTCAAATACTCAGCCTGCTAATATCGATTCATCAAGAAATAACAGACTAGTTCACAAGATGCTATTCCCATGCTTGAACGTTGTTGCCTAAACCATGTAAAGCACGTGATGCATTCACGCTAAACACATGAGACACTATACCATTACCAATGTACAAATAAAGGTAATGCATACACGAATGGAACACGCTTTCTGCCAAACCAACCTTACAGCCAATCGATAGATACAAGAGCAAATTCAATAGCCTCAACAATATAACTATATAAGTTTTAGAATTCAGCACAAAAACTAAGGCCAACAAAATTAACAGCTTAACCTAGTTTAATCCCTTCTTAAGTAAAAAGGCATGGGAGATGAATTCATGCAAATATCACAAAGAAATGAGCTCGAATTGCCCAGAAGTTGTAGTACATGTATTTGTTTTTTTTTTAAAGAAGAAGAGGCTACAACATCTATTTTGAACCAGATGGAATACTATAGTGTGCGCACATCAAGAAATAATAAATTGCCAGTTCCATTGGCAAGACATTAGCAGCACCCATTTTTGACATGAAATATTAAAATCTTCTGTGCCACTAATGAACAAACTGTTTATCAACAGACATGAAGGAGCAAATTGTCACATGGACTGAAAAAATATCATGCACATTACAACCAAGTGTATCAGCAGCAGAGGTCAACTGACTGATGAAAAGAGAATGAAAATGTTCGTGAATTTTTAGTTAGTGCTGAATTGTTTTGCTTAATTACTGTTGCTTAGTTATACTTTTTTTTACCATGTTTCAGCTTGTTGTTTTCCATTACTGCATAGTTCACAAGATATCAAGGCAGAATTCGGCACCACTAGCAAACAATATATTTTTGTACTCCCAACTGACTGAAGGTAGAATATTTGTAGAACTGCAAGTGTACTAGGCTACAAGCACGTGATAACACGGAATGTGTTATTTATGCAGTCTGACAGGCTAATAAACACTAAATAAGCAGGTAGCGACTCAGGTGCATTTTTTGCATCTAACATAACTGATATAGCAAGTCCAAACCACATATGCAAGAACAACACATCACCAATATGCAAGAACAACACATAGGCAAGATCTAATTACGCTTCCAACTTAGTACCAGCACACCAGTGTCAGCGAGAGTAAAAGTTAACAACCATGGCACAAACTAGACAATAATCCTTCAGATCCTTCTGATTCAGAACCTAGGTACGGTGTTGGCTTTGCAGGTTTAATTGCGCTACTCCCTCTTTTGCAAACCATAGGGTCAAATTTGCCTAGCTCAGTTTTTAGGAAAAATATATTAACATCTAGAGCACCAAATAAATGCACCACTATCAAGACATAATTAATGGTGAAAATCAATATTATAGATGCAAGTGTATTTTTTCAATAAACTGCCATCTCATGCTGACACTAACCAATCCCGCAATACAGATGCACAAAAATAAAATACCCAGAGAGGGAGTATGCGGAGTCCTTACCGAAGCAACAGCAGAAAGCACAGAGGTGACGAGCGCCCTCAGATCTCGCACCCTGCTCCCTAGAGCGCCCAGCTTCCGGTTCCCATGTCGTGTTGCTCGGCGCCGAAACCCTAATCAGCCGCGGCCACCTCACCGCCCTAGTGGGACAGTCTGTGAGAAGAGCGGATCAAGAAATCCGAAACCCTAGCGGGAGGCACAGAGATGTAGGATGAGGCGGTCTCACCGTTGGCGTGACCGAAGCGATGAGAAGGCGGAGTGGCAGCGGTGACGGATTGCCGGGGCGGCGTCGACGACTCGACGGGATGCCGGGGCGGCGACGGCGTCGCGACGAGAAGACCTGCGCGAGCGGAGGAAGCTACGCGGCTCGCGAGCGGTCGCCACGGGAAACCCTCCCGGCCTCACGAGTCGTGGATTCCTTCCGCGTGGAAAAAGAAGGGAAGCGGGCTGCGACCCTCGGATGGGTGGGCTGCCAAAGTGCGCAAAAATTTGGCCCGGTGGAGATTGGCACGGGGGAGACAGCCCAGGGAAAACGCGGGGATCCCCCCGGGGAAACGGGCTGCCAAAGTAGCCCTAGTAGGTAGGGAAGCTCGGGCGGGTTGATCCAAGGAAATCCGTAGGCGAAACGAATATGAGCGCTGCTACGGCCAATGAACGATTCTCGGGTGAAGGGAAACAGGAAGGTTTCGTCAGCTGCCCCTTATTCTTTTTCGAGAGGAATGAAATAGTCGACCATACGGGGAAGGGAAGTTGCCCAGAAGTAATAACAACCTTCAAGTAAGAAGGAAGGAAATCCACTAATAGATAGTAGGGCGGCTCATTTACCTTTGAAAGAAGAGGCTCCCGGAAGATAGGGTTAGCCGAGTTCGACATGGTTCTTCAACCGCTCCGCCCTCGACAACGAAGATAGACATCCTTTGATTGCTTCTTCTTGAGCTTGGTCGCCAAGTGTCAATAGAAATAGGAAAACCGTCAAGGATTGCAGTTGGAAATCTAGTTATTTTTCCTTGCCAATAAAATCAACAAATTGTGAGTTGCCTTTGCCAAGGAGATGATCAAAGAAAAGAAGAAAACACCAGCCGGAGCGGATATGCGAACAGAGAAGGTCGCATGCAGACGACTGAGAAGTAGGGCCTCCAGTTTAAGTAGCAGATATGGGTTCCTAATGCAGCATGATGGGAAGCTGCTCGGAGAAGTCCTGAATCGGTGACAATTCTCTGAGCTCGTATGCTCCCTGGAAGCAGTCCGCAGCCTCGAGCAGTGATTCTTCAGATTTCAGGACAAGTCCAAGATCCAGCCGGGCTCGATGGCCTGTAGGCTCTAAACGGAGGGCGTTGCGCAAGAAAGTTCTTGCGATTGATAACGAGTTCCGTTCCCTCCTAGATTTCGTAGAATTCCTGCCATAGAAACCATGCTTGGGACGTAATCTGGATTGATCGAAAGGGCGAATGAAAACGCCATCAGGGCTTCTTGGTGCAAGGATTGACCCTCCAACTGAAGACCTGCAAAGGTGCTGAATGCATTAGCAGTTTTAAACATCGAACCATCGAACGAACTTTAATAGTAAAAAACTAACAGAAGCAACCTCTTGGATATTCATTTAGATATCAATCCAGAAGCACCGGTATAGTAGTACTGTATTATTAAGTTTCAGGGACAACCCCATTTTCTTGATGTCCAGAGGACATGAAAACTGAAGCAAATGCAGCCAAAGCCAATCACAACACTTGGAAAAAAATTACAATAATTTATTTTGAGTTCCTTATTTGTTTGGTAAAAAGAAAGCATAACTGAATATATTAGCAGAATCAGGTCAGGTAGTTGCGAATATTTACCTCTGACCAACTCGGAATGGGATAAAAGAAATCGATGGATCTGGCTTTGTCAAGGCAGATGTTTGAGTCATGCCATGCCTCAAGCTTTGTGTATATTGACGCCAAATCTAACCATGCGTCCATCTCTAACTTATGTAGGGATTTAACCTGTCAAGGCCAAGTAGATAATGAGCGAAGAAGAACAATGATATTTTCATTGGAGTCTAATAAAGAAGAGAAGGGGTTGTACCTCACTACAAGTGGTTGATTTCCAGACTTCCTTCTTTGCTTGAATGGTCGCAAGCAAAACCCGAAAAGATTCCACTGCTGGCTTGAATTGTCCACGGGAAGCCTGAATTTGTGCTTTCAGCCTCATCCAACTGATCATCTTTCTCAGCTTCATCTATGGCACTGCTTCGGCTTCTTGTAAATTCTGCTGATAATAAAAGAATTAATAACTTCCAGACACTAACTGAACCACCCATCACCATTTCATTCATTTGCATTTTCAACAGCTGCATTGAGTTTGCGCTGCATCGCATTTTCCCAAGCAAGGCTATACATTATTTCAGGATTATACTTTGCCATTGCAGCAGCATCCTGCAGCAGCCTCAGTGCATCATCTTGTAATCTCAATTTATCCAAGTGTGAAGTGGACGACCTAGAAAAAGGTCCATAACACACACCAAGAAAGTGGTTTACAATGCTGATGAAATGCATATCGTGACTTCTGAAAGACTTCATGGCTTTATTTGCAAATTTTGTCCCTTCGGAAGCATGCTTTGGATTCTAACAGCATAGTTTTGCTCCTAAAAGAAGAGATGGAATATGAGGTTTTCCCTTTCTCTCTAATACACAAAAATCATTCCTTAGGATGTTTAATGCACTATCATCCACACCAGTTGCACTGTAGCAAAGTGCAAGGATATACCATCTCTCCGATCTGGTATAGGTTCCTGGCAACAACATTTCTAGATGGCTGGCCAAAACTTCATGATGCCCAGATAACGAGAGTGCATACATCAAATGGTTCACAAGGTCAAGATCCCATTTTATTTCTTGAAGGGATAGCTTTCTTGTTAGTACGAGTAATAATCAAATTGCTTCCTCTATGTTGTTCCCAGGGGTTAACAGGTTCCCTTTCTGACCAACAGGGAACTTCAACACCACAATACAGCAGAGTCACTGCCAAGTCTTTTTGTAAGTTGGCGGACCTTTCAGAATCCAAATTCCATGGTTTTGCAAGAGCTCTCCGATATGCAATGATGGCTTCTTCGAAACAACAGCTTCTCATCCATAGTTTGGGAAGATATTCTAGAGCTGAATGGAATATGTCCATTAGCTTACATTCTTCAGTAGTATCGTCAGGAACACCATATGGCCATGCAGACTCAACTATGTCTATGATGGTTTTTCATTCTTCCGCAGCATCTGCCATGTCAAGATAGCATGAAGTGAAACTCTGACGGATGCAACAAAGCTCTTTCAGATGCAAAGGTTATCAATATGAAGCATAACAGCCTTTTACTCCGTTTTGTCAAAAACATATTTTTAACTAAAACAAAATAGGCACTAGGCAGCCCTCCCGGCGAGCATTTCTTTGCCCTTCGGCCCATAGCCATGTCCTGAATGAGTGATATCACCAACTTGCATTGAAGAAAACTTTGCATAACAAAAAGCTGCAATGCCGGGGCATTTTCACGTACACTGATTGAATGTCTGTTGGAGACATGGTGCACAATATGCACCATCAGACGCAGCCCAATACCAGGAATTATCTGTACGATGATTCCAATTTCTAAAAGCAGGATCATATTTTGGAATCACAATGCAGATTATTGTACCTCAAAGGTAGGAAGCTAGATGTATTCTATTGACATTCATCCTACCTTTACTCCCAACAGGACATGATGTATGCAGATTCTTTCTGCAGCCCATCGCAGCTGCACCAAACTTGTCTTTCTTTAGGCCTGGTTTAGATTATAAGTTTTTTCATTCTCTCTCTATCACATCAAATCTTTGACATATGCATGGAGTATTAAATGTAGATAAAAAAATAACTAATTACACAGTTTGATTGTAAATTACGAGATGAATCTTTTGAGCCTAGTTAGACCATAATTGGACAATAATTATCAAATACAAACGAAAATGCTACAGTGCCAAATACTGATTCCTAACCTCAATCTAAACAAGGCCTTACTTTCAATTTTGCACTTTAAATAGAAACTTCCCTATTAACTCCACAACTCACATTTGAATCAGGTTAAATGTAATGACAAAGTACCACAGACCAATCATGTGATGCACACCGATCTAGGTGGCCCTGAACCCAACCAGCGCGGCCGCCGGATGGCGGCAGCCGCACCGCAAAGGCAGGGATTGGGATAGATTGATATTCTTCTTGCTTGATTTTATTGGCCCACAGGATCATCGGCTTAGATGAATGAACCACTCACCAGTCTTGTCGAGCACCCGCTAATGTTGTCGAGCACCCACTAGCCGTGCCGACCACGAACGAGCGTTGTCCGTCCCCACACACTATGGCTGGAGCTAGAAGAAGAAGGGAGAACAGAGCATGCACACATAATACAAGACACCAGCGTTGGCCCGAAGCCCCGTCTGTGAGATGGCAAATCTGAACTCTCTTTACTGAGTTGCCGTGTTAGTCTATTTATACAACTCTATCCATCTAGTTCCAGTACAGTTGCCCTGCTGCAACAGTAACTAGATAACATACAGGGTTGACTCTGCGCCGGCCTCTGCATGTGCCTACAGTGCTGCAGGTGAGCCGTGTGGCGTCTGTACCTGCAGCGGCTATAGTATCACAGCAGGGGGGCCTTTCGGTGCCGCCTTCCCTTGCCGTGTTTACATAAGGTAGCAGTAGATTATCTAACAATCTTTCCCTAATCCTACTGCTAACCCTTGTACCCCCTCCATGCCGATCATCTCCTTCAGCTCCGTGAGTCGAAGACGTCGGAGCGGCTTGGTGAGGATGTCCACGAATTGCCGACCAGTTTCGACAAACTCGATGACGATCTGCCCTCCATCGACACAGTCCCTGAGGAAGTGGAACTTCACGTCGATGTGTTTACTCCGGTCGTGTAGAACCGGATTTTTCGCGAGGGCGATGGCGGGCTGGTTGTCCACCATCAGTGCTGGTGGGTGAGCTTCCACGCCGGTCAGCTCGCCCAGCAGCCGGCATAGCCACACAACTTGGCACGCCGCTGTGGCCGCCGCTACGTACTCTGCCTCGCACGTAGATAGCGCCACCACCTTCTGTTTCAGCGACAACCATGAAATTGGGGCCGACCCAAGGAAGACGAGCACGCCAGAGGTGCTCTGTCGCCCGTCGATGTCCCCCGCCATGTCTGCATCGCTGAACACAGTGAGCTGCAGCCTATTCCTGCTGGTCTTTGGGAAGATGATCCCATGATCTACCGTCCCCTTGACGTAGCGTAGTAGCCGCTTCACCGTAGCCCAGTGATCCTCTCTGGGATCCTCCATGAAACGACTGACGTAGCCCACGGCGAATGCAATGTCTAGCCTTGTGTGGACTAGGTAGTGCAGACCGTCGACGATGCTCCGGTAGAGTGTCGCATCCACCTTCACCGCGGTGCTGGCCTTCGTCAGCTTCAGCCGCTCCTCCATCGGAGTCACGCATGGCTTGCACTCAGCCATGCCGCTCCGCTCCAACAGCTTGGAGGCATACGCGCTCTGACCGAGCATGAGTTCCTCCTTCCCCCATCTCACCTCGATGCCGAGGTAGTAGGAGAGTGCGCCGAGATCGCTCATTCGAAAATGAGCCGCCATCTCACGCTTGAAGCTATTGATGTCCTCCGTGCGCGCGCCGGTGACGATTAAGTCATCCACATACACGTCGACGACAAGCTCCTCCTTCCCCTGTCGCCGCGTGTAGAGCGCGTGCTCGATTGCGCACCTATGAAACCCAAGCTCGCCCAGCGTGGCGTCAAGCTTGGCGTTCCATGCTCGGGGGGCCTGCCGGAGCCCGTAGAGCGCCTTGCGCAGTCGGAGCACCCTGTGCTCCTCTCCCTTGACGACGAAACTTGGAGGTTGCCTGACGAAGACCGTCTCCGCTAGCTCGCCGTTGAGGAAGGCCGATTTAACGTCCAAGTGATGGACGCGTCAGTCCTTTGCTGCTTCCAAAGCAAGTAGCAAATGGACCGGCTCCATGCACGCTACTGGTGCAAAGACCTCCTCGAAGTCTATGCCCTCGCACTGAACAAAGCCTCGGGCGATGAGGCGCGCCTTGTGCTTGAAAATGGCACTAAGCTTGTCCCGTTTGACCTTGTACACCCACTTTAGGCTGATCGGATGGCATCCTGGATGTGGATCGACGAGCTACAATGTCTCATTTTCCTCGACCGCCTTCATCTCCTCCAGCATCGTCCGTCGCCAGGATCACCGGCTTAGGTGAGTGAACCACTCACCAGTCTTGCCGAGCACCCACTAGCCATGTCGACCACGAACGAGCGTTGTCCGTCCCGCTCGGCCAGCGCGAACATGGGTGGTTCCTCTGCACTGACTAGCAGCAGCTCTGCGTCATTGAGCAGCCAACCAGCTAGTCCTTAGGGTCCTATGCCACCGACAATGTCATCCAGCCTACGGAACCGCACCTCCTCACCTTCGTGGAAGGCATCCACGAACTCAGTGATGTCACTTGGAGGTGAGGCGAACTCGATTAGCATTGATGGAGTTCCCTATTCCATCGGAGTGCTTGGTACATTACCTGAAGTGTTCGGCACCCCAGGTTCAGTGCTCGGCACTACTTCTGGACTTCTCGTCATAACTCCTGCAGTGTTCTGCCACACTGTAGGAGTGCCTAGCCTCAGTCTTGGAGTGATCAGCACCACTGTAAGACGTCTTGGCTCCGCCACGAGAGTGCTCGGCACCCGTCCTAGAGTGGTCGCCACCACTGTAGAACCTCCTGGCACCACTCCTGGCGTGCTCAACATCCCTCCAGGAGTGCTCTGCACTCCTCCCGGAGTGCTCGACATCCCTCCCAAAGTGCTCGGCACTACCCCAGGAGTGCTCGGTTCTACCGCTGGAGTGCTCGGCGCTCCTCTTGGAGTGCTCAGCACCTCTTCCCTAGCGTCTCCACCACCATGGATGACCAGGTGCTCGATGACGAAGGTGCTAGTGAAGCTGCTAGCTTCCTGTCGATGTGGGACCCATAGGATACCCCGCAAGAGAGAGAGAAGATCTAGTTCAACTAGGATTCTTCCCATGTAATCTTAGTAATAGAACTGTTAAGTAATCCTACTAGGAAATCTCATTGTAAACCGATTAGGACTCCGGCCTCCTGAATATATAAAGGAGGGCAGGGCTCCTAAAGAAGGAGGACAATGGTACGACATAACACTTCATAATCAATCCAACACA